TATCATTTTGTGATATTTCTATTGTAATCAAAGATATTTTTATTGTTTGTTAATTTTGATTATTGTTTCATTTATGTGTATAAATAAAACAAACATTTTATGTAACTGTTAATTATTTTAATTTTATGTATTCATTAATAATGTTTTTTCCAGAGTATAAACTATCATACTAATTTAAACAATATTATATTATTTATTCATTTTTATTCATTTGATAAAAATAATATACTAAACTAATTCTTCTTAAGGTTATATTTCTCATTCAGTATTTAAGTGTGTTGATTGTTAATGTATAATGTACAATTTATAACATATTTTTAGATTAATAAATGTTTATGTAAATGAAATATAACAAAAAGGTTGAAAAACAGAATAACCAAAAAATTTAAAACATAAAGTAGATTATAGAAAATTAAGAAAAAGGTTAAAAAATGATTAGTACTTAATTTTAATATGGAAGTAAAGTTGTTTAATTAAAAATAAACAACAATAAGAAATTTCTCTCATAAAACAATTAATTTAAATTATTTATCTCTGAGGTTGAGTAGATGAGAAAATAACTAACATTTGTTATTACTGAAAGATATGACTGACATAGTTTTATTATTATCATTCAAAATTTTTACAAAGAATAATATAATAATGAGAATAATAAAGTAATTTTATTACTAGTTAGATATGATTTGGTTATTGGTTATGATCATACTATGTTATAATTGTTAGTATCATATTTCTTGATTAACAATTATGTGAAGAGTTTTTAAATTATAAACAAAGTTCTTGTTTTTATGTTTAATTAGAGAAGTTTTGTTGAAGTCATAAATGTAATATGAAGTATATATAGTATAATCAATTTCTAAGAAAATAAACAAAGAAAAGGAATTATTAAAATGATAAATCATTGCTTAAATCAATTTTACTCCAACTGGGAATGAAATTCCTGTGCAAATACCACATTGGTTATTCTTATTTCTTGACATTAAAATATAACCATCCATTCCCCATGTAGTTCCCCATGAATTTTTTACAATATAATAATCTTTACCATCTTGAGATCCATATCCAACAGCAGCAACACAATGGTTCATTATTTTCTTGCATTTTGGTTCATCATAAACTCCTGACTTATATAATTGGAAAGATGTTTGACTAGCATCAATACAAACACCAACAGGAGCATCAGCAATCGCAGCAGTAAGAGCAGTATCACTAATGTCAGCAGTTCGAAGTCCTTCAATAGAAACTTTTACTTTTGTCTTGTCATATAAACATTTTCCATCTTTGCCAGTATAAGGATTATCCTTTTCTTCCATAAGTCCATTTGATTTTACATAATTATAAGATGCTTGAAGAGTTCCTCCATTACATCCATTAGCAAGAATAGCACAATCAAGAATTTGTTGTTCAGAAAGATCAAGGTTTGTGCAGTATATCCAGTTGTTCCACTTATCAGTAATCGTGATTCAATTGCTGCAACAGCACCAAAAGTAAAACATGATCCACAACTTCCTTGGTCTTTAATTGGAGTAACTTTTCCTTCAGCCCTCCAATCAACAGAAGCAGGAACTTGTTTATTACTTTTTAAATTGATAACTTCAATATTTTTATTTTCATTTCCAATAATTTGTTTATTTAAAAGTGCTTGATATTCTTCACTAGTTAAAGCAGCATATGGGCCTTCAACAGAGAGTTCAAAATCATGATTTTTATTAAATTCCTTAACATATTTGAAATTACTTGTAAATATTGCTTTTCTTCTTAGTCTTTCCACAGGAGAGAATTTAAATTTGTATTTAGATTGCCATTGATCAAATGTGATGGCATTTGCACACAGTCCTAACAGAATGACTGCAAACATCAGAAGAATGAAAAATATTCTTTTAAGTTCAATAATCCTTAAAGATTAACTTACAATCAAAGAAAGTATTTTTGTTAATTCTTTTTAATAAATATTTTTTCAATAATCTTTCTTAATATTTTAATAACCTCTTAATTACAAAGAACTCATAAAGAAGAGCTGAAATCATATGAAAATAAACGGGATTTTATGAAAAAAAAAAAATAAAAATTATCAATAAGAAATGGTGGTATGTTATTTTGATAGTTCATTGTTTTGTGTTGGAGTTGTGAGAGTCAGAACGTCAAATGAATGAGTCGTTTCTAAACTCATTTTAAATGGGCTTAATTGCAATAACTTAATAATTCATTTTAACATTAGTTAATATTTACATTTCATTTGTTAAGACTTTGAGCATATAAAATAAATGGTATCAAAGATATTTTTCATTTTGGATAAACAAATATGGGAAATTATTTTTAATTTATGTAATACTCTATTCATATGGAATGATAATTTCATGACGTCCAAAAATAACTTTAAAATAAATAAAAGATGAAATACAAATGATAACAATGATAATTGATATTGAATATGATGAAATGAATGTGTATTTGTATGATGGAAATGAATATGAAAGAATTGATAGAATGAAATATTTAAAAGAAGAAGAAAAGAAAATAATTGAAGAAATCATTTCCAATGATAAGAAGAATGTGAAAAGTAGAAAAAAAGTATTAAAAGGAGGCTATAAAAACAGTCCAAATATTATCTCTTATATTTGGACTCTAATATTCCGTGTAATAAAAAAGAAGTTATATTTTAGCATCAAAGAAAATAATGACAGGTATGAAAAATGATTTATATTGAAAATAAGAAGAGGTTCTAATTTAATTGATAAAATAATTTTTGTTTTTAGAGAGAGCCAAAAATTAATAATTATTCACACTAATTCTGGAGGAAGTTCAATATGGCTGAATTACAGATACAATGGTCAGAGAGTATAACAAAGGTATTATTTATATATACACAAGATGTGATATTATATTTAGATAATAACTCAGTTTTTCAATAAGTCTTTCATTAAGCAAACCATGTTTTTATTTACACGATGCAACATCTTTTAAATTATTGTAATGCTGAGGTTTCTACCTTACTGACCCAGATGAATTATTAGAAGAAAAGAAAATAGGAGAAGGGTAATTTCGAATAGTTTATATTAGAAGGTTTCGAGGAAGTCAAGCAACAACTAAGAAAATGAAACAAGTTCAAAACAAAGAAGAGTCACTAGGTGAATTTGAGAAAGAAGTTTCTGTGTTAGATAAATTTAGAGATGATATCATTCAATTTTTTTTAGAATACTGTGTTTATCCAAGCAAAATGTATGGTAACAGAAAATGCAAAATAAGGAAGTGCCAAAGATTGTTTGAATAAATGTAATAAGATAGAACCATGGGGAGGACTAGATTTATGATAAGTCCTGTAAAGGGAATATTACATCATAACTTAAATTGATAATATTTTAGTTATCTCAATAGAAAGAAAATGAACAGATTAATTGTAAATTAATATATTTTTGAAGTTTAAGAAATAATTAATGATACTAAATATGACCACCCATAAAAGGAATAGGTTCACCAAAACATATTCATATGAAATACTAAATAAAGAATGTTACAAGGAACTGCTGATATACTTTATTTTGTAATAACAATGAATTAATGTCTTGGTTAGTGCAGGTATTATTCTGAAGTCTCACTTCAAAATTCAATTGTCTATAGCTGGGTTTGTAACTGAAAGAAGATAAAGCCTAAAATCAATGACAAATAAAGAATAATCACTTATAAAAAAAGTATTAAAAACAATTGTTAAACGAGAGACTATCATTAAGGATATTACAATATGTTTAGAAACAATTAGAGAATGAGATAACAATACGAGTTTTTAAACACAAACAGAAATTTATTTTTTATTTGTTGTTCTATCAAATAATTATTATCTGTTATTTCTAATAATGAGCATTATAACGAATAATTTATTTTCCTTTTGAACAGAAAACTATTAGAACATTTTTCTGATTGATTTATTGTTGTTTATGTCTTAAATTTTTTTGCTATTTCTTTCATCTCCACTTACATTAATTACTTAAAATTATATTAAATCACTACGTTTTAAATTATTAGTAATATAAATTTAATATTAATATTCATTTAATTAAGTTAACTCCAAGTATAAACATTATCATCTTTAAAATTTTATGTAATTATATAACTATATGGTAATTCATTAAAATTACTATGACTAAATTCCTCTATATTTTCAATTTATTACCTATTATTTTATTAACCATTTATATCAACACTCAAAGTTATTTCTCTTAGAACTGTGATTCCTTTTATTTATGTAGTAATCGAAATAATGAACAATATAATTCCAGTATTAGTTTATTAATTCTTTTAAATAAGAAATGAAAAAAAAATATTTGATAATAAAATTGATGTAATTTAAAAAAATTTATATAATAAAAAGTAATATCAAAAAGTTCCAAGTAATTCTCAGATATAATCAATAAAGAATTTAAAAAATATTAATCACTTTTTCTTAGATAGTTGAGCAATTTGTCTAGTTAGTTCTTCTTTTTGCTCTGCTAACATAAAATTTTTCATTTGAATTTCTGCAAGTTCTGAAGATAATTTTTGAGTATAATCGTTACACTGTTCAACAAGGAGGCTTTGCGAACTAAGTGATACTTTTGATTGAGCATTTTCACAATCAAAACTACATTCTGATAATGAAAGAGAACAAGTGAATCCATGATAAATACTTTTAATGAATTGTTTTATTTTTTCAATTTCTGGCTTCTTTTCTAATTTACGTGTTTCTTTATAACTATTGAGTAAAAACTTTGTATTTTTTTTAATATGTTCAGGATGATCTATGAATGATACAATCCAATCTTTTATATCAATTCCAAAGAGAGAATCAAATCTTAATTCCAGTCCATATAATGATATCTTAAAATGAAGTTGTTTTGGTTTACTTAATAAACAACCAACATCATAATTTGCTGAAATAGAAATAGAATGTTCATCTTGTGGTAATGGTTTTGTTATTATACTACTAAATGGAGATAATATTTTCTCTACATGATTTGATTTACAATTATCCATAAATAAACAAAATCCTCTTTGGAGAGAATCTCCAACACACACAAGTGATAAATTTTTAAATATAAATTCTGATGTACTGTCATTTGAAGTTACACTTAATATTGTTGTAAAAGGTAATTCAAATGAACCATTTTTTATTATAATACTTGAGCATAATGTTGGAATATCTCTTTTATCTAATAAAGGTAATAAATAATTATTTAATAATGAAATTGAAGAATCAATAATGCTTGTTGATTTTGATGACATTTCTTTTGCTATTTGACTAAATTGATCTCCAATAGCATTGTTAATTGATTTAATTAATTGAGTAAAATATTTATTTAATGATAAATAAATCATAGAATTTAATTTTATTTGGATATTTGTTATAATACCTTCAAATCCAATCATTAAAGGTATAGGACTATGCTCATATTCAGTTACTCCATTAAAAATAGCTTTTATTGGTGAAACAATTTCATTTTTCTCTCCTTTTTCATTAACATGAATAATTTTAATACCATCAATACCAATAGTATATTTAATTTTTCTTCCATCTTTAACATAATTAAGATCCCTTTGTAGAACTTCTTTGGAATATTTATTCATTGTTAAATTTAAAAATTTTGGTGAATTATTGAATTCTATTCCTTCGATATACAAATTACAACCACCACCTTCTTCAAATGGAATACTTAGAATACAGTTCTTTGTTTGTACTGTAATATCTAATCTTTCTATGATATCCATAAATGACTTAAGACCAGATTTTTGAGCTAAAACAGTTAAATGTTTTCTAAGAAGGTTAATAGTTAATTTCGTTATTTCTATAAAACTTTTAGTGTTTTCAGGAAGTTGTTTGGTTTGTTGTTCTTGTTGAGAATTATTTAATTTATCTACGATAGTTAATTTAATAAAATCAATCAACTTTAAAATGACAGCACTTTCTAATGATATTTCAATTCCATCAAATGAAATATTCATTATTATTTTATTAAGTATTCCTTCATTAATCATTACATTAATTCTAGTGTTAAATACATTATCTCCAAATGCACTTAATACTCTTTTTCCTATTCCATTTGACTCATAAATCATTTCAACCATTCCAACACCACTAGAAAAATTAATACAATGATTATTTTGATTATTTTCAACTAAAATATTAGAACGAAATTGTTCAGTAACAAGTCTTAATATTTCAGTAGCTCCCTCATTTTTAACAGTTATTTCAAATGTTCCTAATCTTATAGAAATAACAGTTTTTCCAGAACGATATTGTTTTTGTTTAGTATCATCATTTCTAAATAATAAAGAAGAAGTATAAATACTAATAAAATGAGATACAAATGATGAAGTAATCATATACTCTTCAATCAATAAAACAAGTCTTAATCTATTAATATTTAAAGATATATTTGTTTCTATTAATTGATAAGTATCTTCATCTCTAATTTGAGTAATTTTACCATCAATATTCATATTTCTAATTAAATAGAATTCTTTATTATTTTTAATTATTCGAACATTAAAATTTTTTATTTCAACAACTCTTTTTAAAGTGAACACATTATTTTCAGCAATTTCTGTTCCAATTTCATTAATTTTCTAACAGAATGAATAATCATTATTTTTTATATAACATTATTTAATAAAATTTTTAATAAACAAACTTTAAAATTCTTATCTGCAAAATAAGAACAAAATGATTCAAATGAAACAATTATTTTTAAGTCTTTACTTTGATATTCAAATATAAAGTTATTAACATTAATAAGTATTGTATCTATAATTTGTCTTTTTGATTTCTTTGTTGTTGATTTAATTATTACAACAGTTTTTGTTTTATTTTCAGTGTCAACTTCTTTTGCTGAAGCATGAACTCCTTCAATTTCAATTATAATTGGTTTTTTCATTAATGACAATGGAACAGTAACATTCATTTCATTACATTCTGCACTTTCAATTTCAATAGTTTTTGGTAACATCATCATTTTACCAATAACTTGTTCTTTTAATTGAACGTTTCTTAATTGAACAGAACTATTAGTTCCAAGTTTAATATCATTTCCACTTCCAAGATCAGGACATGATTTAATGTAATTAGATAATACTTTCTTTAACACTTTTGATACTAATAAGTCCATGAAAAACAAATATATTATTTTAGAGATGTAAATTAAAAAAAAATTTTGTTAACAAAAATTTTTTATTTAAAAATTTTTTGTTTTTAAATAGAAGTATCAACTAAACTTCCTTCAACATATACTTCTTTTATTACTCTAGAATCTCCTTGTAAAATAAATCTCTCTACCATTTGTTCATTACCGTTCCATTCAAAAAGATCAATTGGTGAATCATTAGCATTTAAATCAACTCTTAAAGCATCAAATTTTTTACCAACTTCAAATGATCCAATTTGGTCTTGCATATTTAAACAATGAGCTCCACCATTTGTAGCTAAATAAATAATTTCTGATAATGAAACTGGTTCTGTTTTATTTACAATATCATTGATATTACCAACAATTAATCCAAGTCTCATTGAATCAAGGATTGAAGCAGAAAAACCACCTGCAATATCAGTTCCCATTCCCATTTTTATTCCTTTACTAAGAGCTCTCTTTACAGGACAAAATCCTGATTTCATTGTTAAATTAGCATTTGGACAATGAATAAGTGAACTTTCATGCTTTTTAATAACATCCATTTCTTCATCTGAAAGATGGATTGAGTGTGCAAGTAGAGTTTTATCAGTAAGACAGTCATATTGTTCATATACATCAGTATAATTTTTACATTCAGGATACATACTTTTAATTAAATCACATTCTCCTGGTGATTCAGAAAGATGAGTTTGAAGGAAAACATCTCTTTCTTGTGCAAGTTGACCAAGTTTTTTCATAAGATCTCGAGTACATGAAACAGCAAAACGAGGGGTAATAATTGGTTTAACAAAGTGATAACCCTTAAAAGATTCAATAAATCTAATTGTTTCTTGAATACTTTTATCTGCATTTTCTTTTAAATTATCAGGGAACATTTGGTCTTGATTAACTTTTCCAATAAAAGCACGCTGATGTCTTTTTTCACAAATGTTAGCAAGAATAATATCTGAGTCTGTGTGAATAGTTCCAAAATAAGAAGCAGTAGTTGTACCATTTTGTAATGTTTTTCGTACAACTTGGTTATAAAGCTTTTCTGAGTAGTTCTTATCAGCACATTTTGGCTCAAAATTATGGACTGTGGCTTCTAACCATTCAAGTAAAGGTTTACCAAAAGCAGTTCCAATAAATGCATATTGTGGAGCATGAAGGTGACAATCTATAAGTCCTGGGAATAAAAATTCACCTCTCTTTAAAACAACTACATCACTTTCTGAATATTCTTTTGGAAGTGTGTTTTCAATAAAAATAATAGAACCATTTTCAACTCCAATAAAAGAGTCTCTAAATCTGATTTGATTAGAAGTTGGTGTATCAATAATTAATCCTTTAAAAACTTTGACTTGTTTTCTTTCAGACATAAAGCCAATAATAATAAAATAATCAGTTCAACCTTTTCAATGAACTTGTTATTCTTCCAGAATAATCTTTAAGAAAAATTAGAATATATCACTCAATGCAAGAAAAAAAGATATTCGTTTTTGTTCCACGCTTTAAAAATTTATTTATCAATTAAAAACAAAATAAATAACAAAAAGGTTTACTTATTTCTTCACTTCTGTAACACCAGTTGGATAAATTGCATCATTAGCAATACCACATTGATTATTCTTATTTCTTGACATTAAAATATAACCATCCATTCCCCATGTAGTTCCCCATGAATTTCTTACAATATAATAATCTTTACCATCTTGAGATCCATATCCAACAGCACAAACAGCATGATTAAGAATAAACTTTTTACATTTTGGTTCATCATAAACTCCTGATTTATATAATTGGAAAGAAATTTGACCTGCATCAATAGCAACAGCAACTGGTCCTTCAGCAATAGCTTCTACTAATGCAGTTTCATTTCTTTGTTGAACAATAACTTGTCCAGCGTTCTTAACAACAATTTTATTAGTATCATATTGACAAGTTCCATTTGTTGCAGTATATGGATAGTCTTTTTCTTGCATTACTCCATTTCTCTTAGTGTAAGCGTAGACATATAAAATAGAACCACCATTACATCCATTATTTCTGTCACTACAATCAACTATTTGTTGTTCAGAAAGGTCAAGATTATCAGCAGTATAAGTTTGAGAACCACCAATCAATAATCTTGATTCAATAGCAGCAAGTGATCCAAATGAATAACATGAACCACATTGGGCTTGATCTCTAATTGGAGTAACTTTTCCTTCAGCTCTCCAATCAATAGCCTTTGGAATATCTCTTTTAACAGACTTTCTGATTGGTGTGTCAGCATCATTAACGCTTCTAGCTTTTAATAAGGCATTGTATTCAGTATTAGTCATAGCGGCATATGGTCCATCAACAGATAATTGGAAGTTATGTTGTTGGTTAAACTTAGCAACAAATTTAGAGTTCATATTAAAGATAGCTCTTCTTCTTAATAATTCAACTCCTTTGAATTTTTGGTTATTTTTAGCCATCCAACTATCAAAACTAATGGCATTGCTCAAAGAAATAAGAGTAACAAAGAGTAAACCGAACATTAAAAATGATAATATCTTAGTTTCTTGTAAATTTAGATTATTTCTGACGAAAAGCCACGTTTTTAAAAAAATTCATTAAAATAATTTATACATCTAAATATACTTCAATTAGAGGTAATACTTCGTTTATATTTTTATCTTTTCATTTTTTTTTTAGAGAAGAACTTTCTTTAATAATTTTAATTATCCCAAAAACTTTTCTATAAAATGAAAAAAATAAAATAATTTGTTAAACAATAACTCGTTTATATTAATATAATAACGAGAATTAAAGTGGAAATTAGAATTAATGGAATTGTACTTGATTCATATGAAATGTTTGGACATTCGTGATCACTTTCATACCCTTTAAGCCACACAACATCCATTGAGGACATATTTAATTTGACAATATTTCCATTTTCAGTCCAAATTGAAGAATTTCCCATCATAACCTCTAAACAAGTGTTATTAGAGGCTTTAGTGAAAGAATAGACATAGTTATTTACTGCTCTAACATTAACAATAAGAATATAGTCATATCCATTACATCTCCATTGTCTTGTTGCAACATAGTTTTTAAAATCTAATCCATCATTAAGAGGAAGAATGTATTTATCATTTGGTGGTTCTTCAACGCACATAATAATATCAGCATATTTGTCTCTTAACTCGTACGTAACTTTCTTTACTTTTTCCCATTCTTGCTCAAATGGATTTTTATAATCCATGACCCTCATTTCAGAATAATCGAAATAAATAATACCCATAGCTCCACAAGCAATATTTTGATAAATCATATTTCTGAGTTGTTCTTCTGTTGGAGGGAATTCTTTACTCCAATCAAGATTATATGAATCATTGTAAACAGTCCAATCAAATATTTGAACAATATTCCACATTGCTCTAGAATTGACCATTTTCTTTCTTCCTTGTGTCATCATAACCCAAATTGATTCTAATTGATCAAATGTTTGAACTGGATAGTCATCCATTCCAACAGTATCAAACCCTTCTTTATAAAGATTAAGATTAAATCTATCATTAATAGCAGGCCAAACTACATGGTTTGGATCATTTTCTCGAATGGCTCTAGTTGTTGCTTTCATACTTGAAACACAGTTAGTACTAGGTTCATCAGCAATATAATAACCAAAGAGTCCAGGTTCATTTTTAATTAATTCAACTTGTTGTTTAGCCCAACTTACTTTATTTTGAATTGCAGTGTCATCACACCAACAACAAATAGAACCAGAGAATGGATTAATAATTCTAATTTTTCCATTTGTTCTATTGTAAACATCTTGAATTTGTCTTGCTGACATTTGTCCTGGTCCTTTCCATAAATTGAATGGAGAGTCTTTGAAATGTTCAATATCAAAGTCATCATACCAATTCATATAACACCCAAGAGGGAAGAATTTTTTACCATTAACCCATGTAACATGGTTCTTGTCAACATAAATATCATAAGATGGTTTGGCGTTAAGTTTTCTAAAAGTAGTAGAAACAGTTTCAATTTTATTATTAAATAACGAATTGATACAAGTAATCTTAACTATGTAATACCCAGGAGTAAGGTTAGATGGATCAAATGTTGTTGATGTAATAATTTGGTTGAAAGTCATTCCCATTTTAAACTCTGAACCTTCAATGTTTTTAACTACTTGATTATCTGATTCTCTAATAACTTGTCCACTGATTGAAAGATAAGACCCATCTTGAAAAGCAGTATCATTAACATCTAACCCAACTCTAATTTCAAATGGATCAGTATAAGCTTCTTGTCTCCATGTAATACAATCAACAGAAATAAGAACATTTTGTTCAACAGGTTCTAATGAAATATCATCAATCCAAAATTCACCAGTTGCCTCTGCTCCTTGAAGTCTTGCAGAAATGATAAACCTTTGTTTTCCAAATGTCATTACGGAATTTCCTGATAATTTATACCATTTATCTGTACAAGTCCCTGTTTTACATTGAGAAATAGAGTTTGAATAGAGATAGACACCATCCCAATAATCAGCACTTTCTGCAAAGAGCATTAACGCTCCATTTTGAATATTTTTAACCTTAATGTAAGCTGTTAATGTATATTTAATTCCATGGACAAGGTCTGAATGGTATTGAGAAATAGAAACAAAGTCTTTAGATGACAAGTCAGTACAGTGTAAAGATTTTGAACCTGAATTATATGTTGTAGAGTCAATGACACATGCATTAGAACCTCCATAAATACTCCACCCACTAATGCCTGTTGAACTCTCTTCTTCAAAACCACCATTAACGATATAATTTTTTGCTGTAGTACATAGTAATAAGTAAAATCCGATAACAAGCATATAATTTGATATATTAGATTGAGGCAATAAGAATTTGTATAGAAAATTAGAAAAAAAATTAATTAATAATAGATATCATAACTTTCATTTTACAAAGTTGACTTTTCGTTTTTTATGAAAAGTTAATGACAAAAAAAAAATAATCCAATAATGATATTTACTTGCTTATTCAAGTTTTCATTGTTTTAAGAAGTTACAATATTTAAATAGTGTTGGCACCTTTGTCACTCTCTGTATTGCCAGAGTCTTTAGTTGATGTGTTAGGTTGTGAGTTTACATCCTTCACCTGCCATCTGAAAAGTTTATGACAAAAAAATAAAAATATTTTTTATTCCAAAAGTGAATCAAGCAAAAAACAAGGAGATATTATTACATGAGTTTACTTCTTCTCTAAATATAGAATATTGAAAGGATTTTCATGTCCATTGGATGTTGCTTTTTTTTTGGATTTCATCTTGAGATTGAATTATTAATATTTAATGAATTGTTGCACTAAAGTTAACACGGAGTTATTGCATAGTATTGTTTTAAAACTAGCATCACAATTAAGCAAAGACAGTGTGCTCTTAGCTAAAGAACAGAAAGATAAAGAAAAAAAAATTAAGATAAAAGAAAAATCAGCTCGCCTTGAACGAAAGTTTCCTAAAATTCGAGTTTCAAAAAGTGTGTATAACCAGTTAAATTTGATTAAAGAAAAAGAAAAATTTCGTACACTTTCAGATGTGATTGTTCATCTTTTGGCTACTATACAATCTTTTGACAAAGTTTTGTAAATAACAGAAATTAATAATAATTAAGAAAAAAGAAAAATGTTTTTCTTTTTTTTTATTTAAAAAAAAAAAGAATTTATAGTTCTCATAACAAATAAGAAGGTATGAGTGTCACCTTACCATCTGTTCAAGCCTCAGCAATGGCAGAGTCTCTTTCACCAGACCCACTTCAAACAGTTTGTTTTAATAAAAAGAGATTAATAAAAAAATAAAAGTAATTTGGTAGCTTTTATTACCATTAAATAATGACATTCCAGCAGGAGTTTTAAAATATTTTTGTTCAACATTAAATACACCAGAACAATTATTTAAAAATACAGAAATGGTATTTTCGTATTATATTTCTGAGGGAAAAATCTCTCAACTAATAGATTATTTGATTGACAGAGAAATTGAAGAATGTTTCAGAACACCAAGTTCAATTTTTAGACGAAATTCTATATTCACTCGTATTATTCGTATATTTCTTGACAATGAATTAAAACAATTTTTAAAAGAAGTTATTAATATTGTTCAGAAACATATGAAACAAATCAAATTTAAATTAGTTATTGGAAATACTATTAATACTGATGTCGAAAAATCAGTTAATAAAATCGCAGATATTATTCAATCTATTCTTGAACATATCATTGACTGTAAAAATTATCCAACAGGATTTAGCTATTTCATGCACAAAGTGTCTATTGAATTACATAAAAGAACCCCATCAGTTGAGTTGTCTGCTCTCAAAAATCTTATCTTCTTAAGAACTATTAATAGTGCATTAGTCCATTCTCAGTCAAAGAATCAACAAGAAATTGAATCTATAAAAACTCTTTCTGTTGCTTTCCAATGGTTTGTTGGTGATTCTACTGAACAAAATATTCCACCTGCACAAAATTGGAAATTACAATTATCAGAAAAACTTGGATCATTAAGAAGTCAAGTTGATTCTTGGGTAACTTCATTAAGAGATCTAGCACTAGATGATTTCTTTGAATTATCTTGGGTATCTCCTGATGCTTGTAATGAATTATTACCAAGAATGAAAAAAGAATGGAAAGATATTCTTGAATTTTTATCACCAGAATCACAAGGATTACTTTCATTACATTTTTCTAATGAACAAGAAACAATGAGAATGTATATCAGATTAACAAATGAATTAGATGCTTTCTCAAATGGTACTGTCAAAGAACATAGTGATTTGTTAATGAAAATGACTGCTATGACAATGCAAATTAAGGACCTAAAGGCTGAAATTAAATATTTAAAGAAAATTTTAGTGGAAAAGGATCCATCATTAGGGTATTTGCTACAACATGAACATTAACGTAAATTGTCCTTTTTTTCTTTCTTTTTTATTTTTAACAAAAAAAATAAACAAAATAAAAACAAAAGAATAATGTGTTTTTTGGTTACATCATTTTACTTAGAAGAAAGAAGTTTCATTAAGAAAGAAATATCAACAGTATCTATTTTATTCAATACAACACTCATTATTACTTCTTCAATTAATTCATTTTTGTTTTCAATACGATTTAATAATTTTATTATTAATTCTTCATTTTTTTGAGATAAAAGATGAATTAACACAATCTGATATGTTTTTCTTTTCCAAACATTGTCATAACCAAATACATGCTTTTCACATATAATATCTGCAACATTCAATAACCGTTCATAGTCAACAGAATAAAAAGAATATATTCCTTGTTTATCATTTACTGCTTTTAATACATTATCTATACCAAATAAAATAAATTGAATAACAACAATAATATGAAGTTGTTCTTGTTTAAATGATTCATACGTACCAACACATTGAATTGTAGAATACATGGCAGAAATTATTTTCATTATTTCTTCTCTATCAAATCCATTTTTTTGTAATTCTTGAATAAAAAATAATAATTCAAATGCACTTTGTTTGAATTGAGACCTTACACAATTTCCAAATTCTTCAAATAATCCATTATGAAGATCTTCATTTGCTTTACTACTAATTGAAAGTGGTTTAAAATTAATATAAGGAATATCTTCATATAATGGCTCTGATTTATCTTCAATTTTAATACCATTACTTAATGCAAGAATTGAAGATAATAAAACTTGTGAAGTAAAAGAATAAGTTGTTTGTTCTTTTTTCATACGATCAATGCATTGATTAACAAAATTATAATTTCTTGGTAAATAAATAAATATTGAAGTGTCTGGATAATTATCAACTTTATTTTGAATTAATGTTTTTGGTAATGAATTTAAATGATTAATAGCTTGAGTTAATCCTTTTTTTGTTGTTTCAATAAGTCTTTTAAATGAAAAAGGTGCAACAAACCTATTACTTTTTGGTACAATTTCATAAAATTGATGGCACTCACTTTGATAAATTCCATACGTAGTTTTATTATTGAAAGAAATACATTCTGTAATATCAAGTTGTGGTATTTCATTATTTTCATAAATAATTCTTTCTATTGAAAGAGAGAAACATTCAATTTTAATAGAAGTAATAGTTATAATAACATCATTTCTAAGAAATGTAATAAATGGAATTCCTTTTGGAAGAAGATAATGGGCTGAAATTTTAATTGGAATTGGTAAAGCAAAATTGCTATTCATAACAAAAATATCACCACAATCTTCTATCATTACTAAGTCTTGATCTCTTTTTAAAATATGAACTACTTGTGTTGTATGATAAAATGGAATAAATTGTAGTACTGCTAATTTCATATCATAAATACAATAAGTTGATTTATTATTTTCTGAAGAAGTGAGAATTACTAATAAATTATCTATATTTTTTATTTGAAGAATTGGTTCTTTTAATTGTATTTCTTCAACACTTTCTAAAATAATTTTAAACGTTGACATATTTTTAATATCTACTTCATTTAGATCTTCATTTAAGAAAATGATATTATACCTAATTTTATAGATAATTCTAGTTCCTTTAACACCAATGAAAATGACCCTATGGATGTAAGTTATTTACTAATCAAATTATTTTTATTTTTAATACAAAAAACAAACAAATCATTTGGGTGGTGGTATGCATATAAAATATCATTTTCTTTAAACATTACATTTATTAATACCTTAAATTGAGCACCAATTATTTGGTCATTTCTGATAAGGTTGAATGTCAATTTCTTTTCTGAGTCACACCTAATAAGAATACAATATTTTTGTTCAAATAAAACAAATTTTGTAGTACTTGTTGTTTGGTCAAGTCGTTGTAATGTTCCCTGTTTATTTAAATATTAATTCTAAAGAAAAAAAAATCATACTAAACCAGTTTAAGACAAACATCATTTTTAATAAAAAGAATAGAGTCATTTTCTTGCCAAATAAAAGTGTGAGGGTATTCAAAAAGAATATTTTTAACCTCATTTTTATCAATAGCATCAAGAAGGTTTTTGTTATTTTCAAAGACACCAAATGAACAGAATTGAAATTGCATTAAGATATTTATTTTAACTACATTTTTAAAGTTCTTTTCAGTTCCATTTTACATTTTTAAAATCTGAACTATTGAAACACACCCACAAAAAAATAGTAAAAGAAAAACTAAAAAATAAAAGAGATGAGTTTCATTGATGAATGTCTTGAACAATTATGGCAAGGTGAAGTAATTAAAGAAGCAACGTTTCGTCAAATATATGAAAAAGCAAAAGAAGTTCTTTCAAAGGAACCAAATATTATTCCAGTCTCTCTTCCAGTAACAGTTTGTGGAGATATTCATGGACAATTTCCAGACTTTTTAGAATTGTTTAGAGTAGGAGGAAGAGTCCCTGAAACTAATTACATTTTTATGGGAGACTATGTTGATAGAGGAATAAATGGTGTTGAGGTATTCATGTTATTAATCGCACTAAAAGTTAAATACCCTCGTAGAGTTACTCTTTTAAGAGGCAATCATGAAACAAGACAAATCTCACAAACATATGGTTTTTATGACGAATGTATGAAAAAATATGGTAATTCAGATGTATGGAAAATGTGTTGTGATTTATTTGATTTATTGGCTTTAAGTGCTTTAATTGATAATCGCATATTATGTGTTCATGGTGGTCTTTCTCCAGAAATTAAAACACTTGATGATATATCAAAAATTAGTCGATTTAAAGAGGCTCCTCATGATGGTGCATTTTGTGATTTATTATGGTCTGATCCTGAGCCTGAAGTTGACACTTGGAGACCATCTAATAGAGGAGCTGGTTATCTTTTTGGTGAAAAAGCTACAACAGAATTTGTGCAAAGTAATAAGTTAGATTTCATTGCTCGTGCTCATCAAATAGTTATGGAAGGTTATGACTGGAAGTTTAATAAATTGGTATGTACAGTATGGTCTGCTCCAAATTATTGTTATAGGTGTGGTAATCGTGCCTCTGTTATGGAATTAGATGATATGGGAAATCAAACTTTCTTATTGTATGATGCTGCCCCAGAGGTTTGTATTTTTTTATTTAAGTTTTAAACTCTCTTCTATGAAATAGTTAAATTTACACAATAGAATGAACGAACAAAAGAAGCTCATAAAGAATCTTATAAAACATTTTTAACAACATACTCTTATTGAATTTTCTTATTGAATTTATTTTTTTTTATTCAGTTAAAACTCAAACTCACTTTTGTTAAAATGCAAATCAGAGAAGAACAACCATCTGATTATAATGAAATCTACCTATTAGTTCAAAACGCCTTTAAAACTACTGAACATTCAAGTGGTACAGAACAAGACATTGTTATTAAAATTAGAGAATCAAATAATTATATTAAAAATTTATCACTTGTCGGTATTCTTCAAGGAAAAATTATTGGTCATATTATGGTTTCTAAAATTTCTATTGTTAATAATCAAAATACGTATAATAGTTATGCAATTGCCCCACTTTCTATTGCCCCTGATCAACAAAGAAAAGGGTATGGAAGTCAGTTGATGAAAGAAGTTATTTCAAGAGCACAAAAATTAGGACTTACTCATTTAACATTGTTTGGAGATGATCAATTTTATCATAGATTTGGGTTTGAAACATCAACAAAGTATGGAATTAAAACAGATATTCCATGTGATGAGAAGAATTGTATGGTTATTCAATTACAAGAACAAGGACTAATTGGAATAAAAGGAATCATTAAATATCCAAATTACTTTTTTAAGTAAACGGTTTTTTCGTGATTTTTCTATTCTTTTAAAGCTTTTTCCAAAATTAAACTTCATCTAAGAATTCTTATTTAATTATGTCCTCGGCACTTCAGATCAAATACCTTTTAGAAAATATTAGTACTTGTCCTCAAAATGAAATTAAAAAGTGGTGTGATGATCTTATAAACATGTTTCCTTTATCTTCTAAATCTTTTAAATCTTTTTATCTACCTATCTATCTAGATTTAAATGGTGTTCAAATTAGATACACAATCGATACACATTCTACACTTTTTCAACTTACACAAGAAATTTCAAATAGATTTAAATTACCACAACCATTACATATTAGTTTAGGTGATCCAATTGATCATATTTATTTTGGAAGAAAAATTTCAAGCTTTATTTTGTTTCCTAATCAAATTATTACGATAAGAACAGAAAGTTTAATAGAACCAACAATACCAACAGATGAGTATATCACTTTTCCATGGACAGAATATTTTAAAACGTTTGATAAACTTTTATCAGATTCCAATGAGTATTGCCTTCAATTGTTGAGAACTCTTTCAAGTATTCCTTCTGATCAATTTGTTTTTGATGTAACTGATTCCCCATCTTGTTTAACTGCATTGTTTTTCAATGTATTAAAAGAAAGGGCAATTTCTTTATCAGAAGAACAATGCATTAATTTAATTAAACAAACTTTTTCTTTCCCAGGTGACACTAAATACTATTCCATCATTTCTGTATTAAGACTATGCGTATTCAATAATATTTATTTACCAGAAAAATTTATTGAAGAAATTAAACAATCAATTCAAAAAGAATCTAAATTGTCACTAATTCGACCAATTTATATTTATTTAGGATGTTGTATCAAAAAAGATTTTCATCAACAAGTTTATTTACCAAATATTAAAGACTGTAATGAATTTCAAATTATTAGTGCTGCACAGCATGACTTTGAGTTAAACGATTCACAACTATTATCAGTTTATCAACAAATTACTACTTTCATTAGTTCTCCACAAAAACGTAGTGAATCAATAGAGCATTTATTTGAAACTCCTTTATATTTTATTGCTGACAACAATACTTCTCTACCATTTAGTGAAAATTTTACAGTATTTGCATATTTATATTTATTAAATTCTCTCATCAAGAAATATGGTTTTAAGAATGTCCCACGTACATTGGGAGAGTATTTAGTATCATTTGTACTTCCTCAATGGAAATCATGCCTTGAATCTATTCCAGTACTTTCATTAGGATTTCAATCAATAAACCTTGCACATCATATTCTTTCTTATTCTAATAATCTAAAAAGTATTATCTCAAAATATTTGATCAAATCATCTGAAATTCAGTCATCATTAGGAAGAATTGAATTAACTGCAACACCTCGATTAATGTTAGAAAATCCACAATTAGAGGCATATATTTATATTGCATCATTTTTATCAATAGAAAATGGAGAAGATAATAGTCTTGTTTCTGTAAGTAAAAAATTACTTGAATTTCCTCCTCGGTCTATTGATATAACACAAATTATTACAACACTACAAATACAAGAAAATGATATAGAAGGATTAGTTAAGTTATTAAATACATCAAATATGAAATGTGTTTTATTACATTTTTCTTCCGTCCCTACAAATATAATCCCAATACTTTGTTATAACTTTTACTTTCAAGTATATCCTATTCATCCTGAATATACATATGCACATGGGTTTACTTCAATTCCAAAACATTTTGATTTAATTTCAACTCATACATTAGGTAACTTAACATTTAGTTTAAAAGCAGTTATTACAGTAGAAAATAAATTCTATTTAAGAAATGGAAACAAATGGATGTGTTTAGAAAATGGAATTTTAAATGATGTAAATCCTAAAGTATGGAGTAAAACTATGAGAGAAGGGCTATTTACTCAAGTGATATTGAAAGTTGATGATAGTACAATACATAAACCAACAATCATTGAACCAACAATTACACAAAGTGATATAAGTGATGTATCTATAAGAACTTCAGTAGTAAATATTGAATGTATGTCAGTAGAAGAAAAAATAGAATTTCTCAAGTACATTACTTGTAGATATCTTGATGTTCTTAGTTCTGAAGTTTATTATAAGGTGCGTGAAGAATTGAAAAAAGAGAATGGGATAACTGTACTTAAATATATTCTTTCTGATAAATTTTTAAATTTCCTTCAACCTGGAGAAACACTTAATGAAGTAAGAAATGATCTTGTTGATTTAGTGGTATATTTGTTGAAGAAACTCGATAAAGATTCACAAAATCTCATTTGCCAACATCTTATAACAAAAAAACTCAATACTGGAATGTTAAGACTTTGTTCACAATGTATGGATAATGAAACAATAAAAGAATATTGTTTACAACATTTTAATGACTTCTTTAAATTTGAAAAAGAAGAAAAACAATCATTCCAACAAATAATAAAAGAAACAATTAATGAACTAGATAGACTTGAACCAATCTATCGAAGTAATGTTGAAATTATTAGAGCTATGAAGAAAAGTATTCCAGTTGAAGCAAGCCTTATTCTTAAACGAGTCGGGAATAAAGAAGAAAGAACAAATATGATTTCTTCGTTCCGTTTCCTTCGTTTAGATGATTTAGATAAAATTAAGTTCTTAGAATCACTTGACTTAGATACTATGACACCTGAAGATTTGTCTATCCTTCAAAAATATAAGAAGAAATTAACAACTGAAAGTAAAGAAGTTTTTGATAAATTTGATCAAATAAATAAAGTATTAAGACAAAGATTTGATGCAAAAATGTTCTATGACTATTGTTATGATGCTGTTTGTTTTTGTTTTATATTTATTTACTACATATATTCACTATATTTAGTTTTATGATGTCATGATGAATTAATTGCATTTTATTTTTCAAATAATATAATTTCTAGTTTAAACCAAAAGGAATAAGTCATTAAATTTCTAGTAATCCAATGTATGAAAGAATTAAAATCATAATCTCAAAATAATTATTTTTATTTTATTTCATTCTATTTTTTTAAAATGATATTAATATAATTAAAATTGTTTTATAAAACAATTTAATAATACATGTTTTATAAAACATAAAATAATTTAAACCTAATAGTAGATAAAGAATTTGACTATGGCAAAAGAAGAGTACCATAATGTATTTGAACGAGACGAGAATGGGATTAGAAAACTTGACTTAGAATATGGTGACTTTCCTGATGATGGGTATGATTATTCACAACATTTTGCTGAACGAGGAAATGGAATTTTCATTCAATCTGATGGTAAAATTATACAACCAGAAGATAGGGGAGTTGATAAAATCGAGGTTGTAAACGATATTCCAGATGATGTCGATCCTGAAATTCTTGCTATGTTGAACGGGGACAAAGAAACTAATGATATGGATGATGATTTTGTTCAAAAAGCAATGGGAAAGGATGTTCAAAAAAAAGAGAGAAAAGAACGAGAAGAAGATAGAGAGTTTGAAAAAACTCTGAAAATGTGGGATAATGATGAAGATGAACCTATTAAAGATGAATTAAGTGATAGTTTAGAGTTTGAAGAACAAAAAGATAATGATATTCCATTAGATGAAGATATGTTAATTGAAAATGAACCAGTTGATGGTTTATTTAAGAATGGTAATCCAGTTGATATGTTAGACTTAAATCAAGAGTTTATTGACTTTGATGAATCAGATGTACAACTCGCTATGAGTTCTGTGAACCTAGAACAAAACCCAAAGAAACACCACCACCAACCTAAACAAAGAAAAGAGAAGAAAGTAACTAAAGAAGATCTTGAAATAGACCCAGCTCTTTTGTTAAAACACGCACAACGTGTAATGGTCGATGAACCAGAAGAGACAGAAACTATTGTTGTTCAAACGGTTGTACAAGAGGATATTCTTCAACATCAAGAAAAAACAAAACCAAAAACAAAACCAAAGAATAAACCAAAAATGGTAAAAGCACCAATAAAGAAAAAAAAGTAACTCTTAATTTTTATTACATTAATTTTTGATTTATTTCTAGTTAATAAATCCAGTTATTAAAACTATGCTGTAAATGTTGTATAAAATGCCATTAACACAGAAGTTGATTGACAAGTTATATCAAAGTTATTTGAAATAAATTAAGAAGAAATTTATTTTATAAAAAATATTCACAAAAAGTTAAAATAAAAAATGAAAAAAAACTCAAATTTTTAATAAACAATAAGAATGTCACGAAGACATCAAAATGAAAAGGACCAAGCACTTGAACTTCTAGAAAAAGCTCGAGAAGGCAAAATCGATATGGAAGAAGTAGCAATAAATTGTATTGCACAAGATGGATTCGATGACATTGATGATATTGATATTGAAGATTTAAAGAATGAAAACATTAAAGAAGAATCAAAAGAAGAGGTTGGAGGTAAGAAGATGGTCCAACAAAAGTTAGTTATTGAAGGAAAAATTAATCCAGAAATTAAAGAAATGATTAAAGAAAAAACCGAAATTACTATTTCAAAAGAAAAGGCTCCACCAATCAAATTACCAAAAAAATTTATTCTTAATGTCCCTAAAAGAACAGACGCTAATATATTAAAAAATGTCCCAACACAAAATTTAGATTTCTTCTATATTGATTTAGTAAGTGTTACTACAATGAAGGGTTGTGTCTTTTTAATAGGAAAAGTAAAAGGAGATAATGGATTTATTTCTTGTTCAATTCTTGTCAAAGGTATTAGAAGAGTTTTGTTTGTTGAACCAAAAAAAGAATTTATCAATAAGCCAAAAGAAGTGATAGAAGAATTAAAGAAATATTATAAATCAACAAATGTAGTTTTTGCAGAAGCGACAAAAGAAATGATTATTAATCCACAGGACACAAATGACAATAAAGAGTTATTAGAAAAAAAAGTTATCAAAGGGATTCAGGTTGAATGTTATTTTGATGATAAAGAATTAAATGATACTGGAAAAACTTATGAAAAAGTTTATCAAAAAACATTGACATGTGAAGAAGTCTTTCTTAGTAATTATTCAATATTTGGTCCATCTTGGATTAAATTTAATGGATTAACTGTTGTACGTACTTCTGTAGAACAAAAGTCATGGTGTTTAAGAGAGTATATTTTAGACCTCAAAAAAGTTAATCCTAAAACGTCAATTAAAACTTCTATAACAAACACAATGATTCCTCCCTTAAATATTTGTTCTATTGAAACAATTTGTTTAAATGAAGAGAAAACAAAAAAACCAATGATGGTCTCATTAGATGTAGTTAAAAGTGTTCCTATGAGTCATAGTATGAAAGCATGGAGAGATGATATTTATACATTTTATATAAATCAAGGAGTTAAATGTTCAAAAGGAATGGAAGCAAAAGACCAAAAAGAACTTTTGTTAAAAGTATGTAACTTCATTCAACAACATGACATTGATCTGATTATATCACATGATATGACAACAACATTAATGCCATTTTTTGATACTATTGAATCATCAGGGGAAGTTTCTGCTTATTCTAAATTTGGAAGATTAAAAAGAACACTTACTAACACTAAATCAAAAGATAATAAAGATAATACCTTTGCAGGAAAAATATTTTTTTCTGGAAGATTATTAGCGGATACGTTTGTGTTATCAAAAGAATTTTTAAGGTCAGAAAAAATTAATGATTTAAATACTCTAACTAGTCATTATCTTGGAATTCAAAGAGAATATAATATTGATGATTTGACATGTTCAAGTGATATTGAATTTGCATTACAAGATAAAACTAAAATTGATAGTATTAGAAATTATCTTGAAGAAAATTCTAGGTTAGTTATAAAACTTTGTAATCAAATGAATGCAATTGCAATGACAAAAGAATTAACTAATTTGGCTGGTAATATTTGGAGTCATTCTTTCTTTGGAAAGAGGGCAGAACGAGTTGAGTATTTACTTCTTCATGAATTTATTAAACAAACAACATTGTATATTTTACCAGATAAAAAGTTTGGGGAAGGAAGCCAACATAAAAAATATGCTGGTGGTTTGGTTTTAGAACCTGTCAAAGATTTTTACTCAGACCCAATTTTATTAATAGACTTCAAATCATTATACCCATCAATTATTATGGAATTTGGTGTTTGTTTTCTTAATTCTCAACTTGGAGGAGAAAATAATAAATCAATGTTACCAGAAATTATTAAAAAACTGGTTATGAGAAGAAGACAAATTGTAAGTGAAATGGAAAAGTTAGGAGATAAAGATGAAATTAAAAAAGCACAATTAAATACACAACAACTATCTGTAAAAGTAATGACTAACTCTATTTATGGTTGTCTTGGTTTTAAAGGAAGTAGATTTTATTGTCAAAAAATTGCTGAGTGGATTACTGGTAAAGGAAGAACTATTTTAACAAATACATGTGAACAGGTTCAAAAAATGGATATCCAAGTAATTTATGGAGATACTGATTCATTAATGGTTAGACCACCAAAAATTAGTTTGAAAGATTTAAAGAATTTTGGTAATAATTTATGTGCACAAATTAATAAAAGTTATAAATCATTAGAAATTGAAATCGATGCTATATTTGAAAAATTATTATTATTAAGAAAGAAGAGATACGCTGCTACAATGATTCTTGATGGAGGTAAAAAGAAAAAAGAATTAAAAGGATTAGACGTTGTAAGGAGAGAATGGTGTCCATTATCTAAAGAAATAGGATATTATTGTATAGACTTAATACTGTCTGATCCAGGATTAGTTAAAATGCAACAAATATTAGAAACTTATTTTAAAAATATAGCAGAAAAATTAAGAAGTGGTAAAGTTGATATTCACCAATTAGTTATTACTAAAGGACTGAACAAAGATCCTCAATCATATCCACAAAAAATTGATCATGTAGCTGCTGCATTAAAATCAAGTAAACACTATAAGGCTGGAGATCAAATTAAATACTTAATTGAAAAAGGAGATAATACAAAGTCAAGTAGTGATAGATCAATTCCACTTGATGTTGTTGAAAAATTAGATAAATTTGAACCTGATTATGAATATTATTTAGATACACAAATTTATGCACCAGTTTCAAGATTATTTGAAGTATTTCCTAGTATAAATATTAAAATTAGAGAATGGCTTGGATTAAGTCCAACAACAACTTTGTATAGTAGAATTGCTGTGACAGCAAATAAAAGTGGTTCATGGTTAGGTTTTGAAATTGAATGTGGTGAATGTAAAAAAGTATTTACATATAGAGCATATCAAGAAAGGGACATGAAATGTAGGTGTCCAGAATGCAAGAAATTATATACATCTACTGATTTAGTTTCTAAAGGAAAACAATACATGGAAAAGGTATTAGATGATTATTTAAAACAAAAAGTTTCTTGTAATGATTGTGGAAAAATTTATACAAAGGCTGGAAATAATGCAGTTTATGATGACTCTTTTGATTGTTGTGGAAAGAATTATGAATTTAATATTAAAAAGAATGATATCATTGAAAAATTAACAAGTCTTTATGTTATTACATCATCAAGACTTAATGACCAACAAAAAATTGATTATGATATTGATGCATTACATTCATCAGTAAAAGGATTTTTAGATAAACCATGTTTACAAAGAGGAAGATAAAATGAAAATAATTGAATTAATAAAATCTTTTTTAAAAAGTTCACAACAAAACTGTCAACCTAATCAAATATCATTTTGAAATCAGGATAATTTTAACTGAAATTCTAGATGAAAAAGTAGGCATTAAAGAGATTTGTTCATAGGCTATGGTCACAATTTAATTTTGATTAATAACCTCTTTTCTTTTCATGTTGGTAGGTTATTATCAAAAAAATATAAACAGTCATAATAAATACCCCTTTTGTTTGTTACAAGATAAAAATTAATTATTTAAAAATATTAATCTTATACCTTTATTAAAAAAAAAATCAGTCTTGTTAAGTTAATAATTATAGTAATTAGTATTCTACTGGATTAGTAAATGATTTTTTGTGAGGTAGAAAGTTAGTTTAATATGAAACATTATAACTCTTTAAATGATTAAGCATTGAACTATTATTTCTTTTGGTTTAAATTTGCGAAAAAATAAAAAATAAAAAACGGTAATAGTAAAAGTTAATAATCCGTTTAAATTAAATAAAATGACAGTCAAAATGCCTACCAATTAAAAAAAAAAAAGGCAAAAAAAGATTTTAGTTTAATATTCTATTGGGAATGAACAACTTCCAAATTCTTATTTTATTAATAAGTATTTGTTCTGCAGAATTACTTACTGATGGAGTTCCATTTAAACTAAATGGAATTAATTCTGTTTCGTTAGACTATTCAGTTAATCCAAAACACAGAAATAATAAGATTAGAAGTTATATTACATTAGATGCTACGTCACAAACATCAATCAAAATCTCTGTTTCTATTAATGATAAAGAAATCGTTCCTCTTCAAGAATACATAGAGCCTATTGCAATTGAAGAAAACGATGAATATAAAAATGCTATTCATAAAATTACAGTTTCTTCTTCAGCTCCAATGAGTGGAATAATTACTGCAGCTGGTGCAATATATCTTTCTGATTGTTCTCCTGTTACATTTGATTCTTCTAACTTTAACTATATGGTTCACTTTATTTATGAAGCAAAGAACACTCATTTCTCACATGAAAATGAATGCACAATTATTTCTTCTTTACTTCTTAATTTTACTGAAGGGGTTTCTTTTTATTTTGAACAAGAGCCAAATAGTCAGTCAACAAGTGAATTTAATAAATATTCTCTCTATCAATACATCCCTGTTTTTGAAGATGGAACGGTTTTTATTCATGCACTAGGAGTTGAAGGAGGGGTTCAAGAAGCAACAGTAAATTCATTTTTAACTCTTCAATACCTTAACGACTGTAATGGAAAGAAACAAACAATCCATTTAGATTCAACTGGGTCTTATGCCTTTTATAGAGTACTTCAAGTAACTGCTTCTGTTTCTGGTCTTCCTTTATCAGTAATAGGATCAAGTCAATTTGAAGGAACAATGGAAGTATATTATGGGATCTGTGATGCAGAAAAAATAGGTGATATTAAAAGTGACGATGACACTATTCTCTTAGCTAATAATTGGTCTAATAATAATTTTGCTGTTATAGTTAAATATAACGTTCCAAAACCTATTGATGTTGAGGTTATTCATCATGAAGTTATTGCTCTTTCATCAACAAATGAATTCTTTATGCATAGTGATGTAGCTTATGGATCATTCTCCTTATGTGGTTTAACACAAACTACTAAAATTACAACTTCTCTTGATCAAACAATTACAATTTCTACTGGAGTTGATACTGTTCCAATTGAGGATGCAACTAGTTCTTCCAAAGAAATTACTAAACAAAATTTAGAAGGTGGTAGTTATATGGTATTATTTAAAGGTAAATATGGAATTGTAGAAACTACCTTTGAAGTTTCAAATGATATTTTTGAATTACCACCAGAAGGAACTTCAAGAATTGGATGTTCAAATGCTGTTTATTCAGTAATTGTTGAAGAAGGAGCAATGGATTATTTTGTAATGTTAAAGTCACTTGAAGTAGAACCAACATATATGATTTATGTAGATCAAAATATTGATAATTTAAATGAAAATGCACAATTTTCATCGAAAAAAGGACAGGTTTATGTCTCGAATATTCATTATCCATTTGAAAATTATTCAATCACAACTGGTCAATATTATATCAAAATTATTAACTTCCCAACAAATGCACATTCTCAAGTACAACACTCAGGATCAATAGAATTACGCGATAATGTTAATAAGACAGTTACTGTAACAAAAGACTATCAATACGCTCGAATTATTTTGAAAGGTTGGAATGATGAATATACATTTACTTCATCTTGCAACTTAGATTTTGTTGTTAATGGTGAATATAACACTTTTGGAAACCCAAGACCACTTGATGAAAATGCTCAATTTAAAACAACAGGAACAAATTTCACAATAAAGTACTCAGATCCAGCTTTTAGTAACAGTATTTCTCATGTTGGGTTTAGAAGCACTGATGGAAAAGAGCATAATTGTACTATTCAATATAGTACAGTGTCATACAAAATAATACGTATCCATACTGGATTTAATACTGTTGACTTCATTTTGTGTTGTTGTGGTGGATTACTATTGTTAATTTTCATTGCTTATATTACATTGATTGTCATTGGTCTTGTTAAAGGCTGGCTTAAGCCAAGTTGTTCAATGAAGAAAATTGAATAATTAATTTTTATTTTCTTAGATAGGTTACTCTTTGGATAATTAATGTTGATCTTCAAATATTATATAAACAAGCTACAAGAAAGAACATCTTAGGATTGACAAAAACTTTAATTCTAAAATATTTAAATATGGGAATT